TTAGTCAAGAGAGGGATGGGAGCCAGTCTTCATTTTAGAAAGGAGCCTGTAGGTGGGTAGTGCTGAGGCATAGCTAGGGGATAGGGAACGCGGATTGCATCCTGATGTAAGAACAGCGGCAAAAGAAGACTTGTTTGGAACCAGGAAGAGCCGTACCTGTATGAAGCAGAGGAGGGAGGTGGGAATGGAGAACTTGGGAGGGGAGAGGAGGGTAATCGTGGTTCCAAGTGGGAGATTTTCAGATGGATTGTCCTTTCCTATACTCTATAAACTTCAGTTTGCTTTAAACTTGCACTGAAATGTAAAACTCAATGGAAGCACTGGAAGATAAAACTGAAGAAATATGGGCCACACACTGTATCAATGATCCACCGGCCACAGGAGCCACAAAAGGGATCATGTGCCAACAAGGAATGGACACCGCTTCAGTCTGCTGGAGATTAGGTCCTCAGAGGCCAGACAAGGGGCANGCTGTAAAGGGCAGTGTCACTGGCCCTCATATGTGGGATCTGAACCGGGGCCCTCTGGCATCCCAAGTCAGTTCTTAACCAACGCGCCACTCGGCCAGCCCTTCACAGTTATTTTTAAAGCCCCAAAGATTTTAAGTTTGCTGAACTCCAATTTATCAATTTTTAAAATGGATTTTGCTTTTGGTGTCACATTGAAGTCCTTGTCTAACCCAGTGTCATGATTTTCTCTTGTTTTTTGCCTTCATTTTTGAAAGCTAGTTGTGTTCAAATCTTGTAATGCACCCAAACTGGTCTCTGGAGCTTCCTGAAGGTACAGGTAGGGATAGCCCTTGAGCACCCAGTCTCCTCAGTTGGTCTCAAGCCAGAGATCCCAAGCAGACTTTAAGATTAGATGTAGGGATATCGGACATTCTGAGGCCCGCCGGGGAGAGTGGACACTTACTCCAGAATTTGCAGGCCCGAAACCCTAGTCACACCCCCAGGATACCCAGGCTTCCTGAGCTCGCTAGAGGAGCTTCCCGGCAGCAGGGGTCACCATCTCTATACTCTTGAGACCAACAGTTGGAAAAGGAAGGGAAGGCCTCAGCTTGGCACAGAAAAATCGGCTACAGTTGTACCCAGGTGCCCTCCCTTTACCTCCCCAATTCAGAAGCCAGAGAGAAGTGCACCTGCAGGCTGCCCACCGAGTGTACACCAGCTGCACCGCTTGGAACTGCTCGAGCCTGTTTCACATCTAGGTAGGGCTGCTCGATATTGAGAACACCTAGTGTTCAGCTGCTTAGGCTCTTTCTTTTTTTGCCACGAGAAAAGTAAGATGCTTGAGAGGCCTTGCTATCCTGGAGACAGAGGTGAGCACTACGGCTGGCTCTGGGGCTTGGCCAAGCTGCCATTGGCCTCCCAAGCTATACACCCCCCAAATTAGAATTCCCTGGGGGACACGTGGAGCTCCACCTTTTGGGTGAAAGAAGCTCACAAGGTATAATGGCCAGTGAGGGAGAAGAGGCTACTCATGAGCCTCCCATGCAATACCTGCCCTCTCTGGCCTCGTCCTTCTATCAAATCCATGCCCAGGTCACCTTCAGCCATTCCCTAAAGGAAGGATTGCCAGGCTCCTCTGTCATGTGTACCCTCCTTCGGACACCTTCAATTGGTCACCACCTTTCCTAGTGGCAACAATCAGGTGAGATATGCAAATAAAAGCACTTGGGCAAAACTCAAATGCTAAACACAATCATTTCTCACATCTAGAATTAAATCTCCAAAGGGAATTCAATCCATCGCTGAGAGCGCCCCCATCTATTCCAGCTTCAGAGTCCAATGACCACCTGAGTCCTCTTGAGGGTATCTCAAGTGCCGAGCAGCAATTCTCATTTTATTTGGGTGTTCACGTCTATAACCTTTCCCACGTAGTTGTTCCTTTGAAAACGTCTAACATTACCAAGTAGTCTACCACCCCACACCTCCCTTTAAATGTAGAGCTGGACCTCCCTGCACACCATCTATTACAACATTAAGACCCTGAGTGTTTTAGAGCTGCCTACCACAATACATGCACATTTTATTACTGATCCACGCCAATAATCCCTCACCTCCTATTTTTCTTACCTCCTTCAACTGTTTTCTTTTCCCCTTTGAAATACTTATGACTAATCCCCCTTTTTATTCTACCCTTTTATGATAGAAAATAGTTCTTATGTTTCTTCCCTTTTGCATTTCTCTATAGCTCACACAAACAATCCTTTACTTCCACAATGATTTAATATTATTTAATTGTATCTTTCCTAATCCTTAAAAACCATGCATGACTGAGCCCTAGTTTTTGTAACATCAAGTTTTTCTACTCATTTTTCAAAATAGCCTATTTTGTAAATCCCCAATTATGAAACCAAAAAAAGTAGTTATGTGCTTTTAATGTCTAGCAGACCACATATGTAAAGAGGCCTTTTCCAAATTAGGGAACACTGAAGGCAGGAGAGGTTTGTATGAAGCTAGTCCTGGTGTTTTCTCTGAACCTGTTTTGAAAATAATTTCACTTTTTTCCCTAAATTTCAACAAAAGCCCTACGTCCTGATGTGTCTTCCTTATTATGAAAAAAGAAAAAAAAAATCCCCACATCCAGTCTTGGAGTTGAAGTGACCATCTTCAATGTGAGAGCAATCCAGTCCACACAAGTTCTCCGAGTCAGTCCAGGGTTTGGGGACCACATCTCCTGCACACTCTTTTCTCAGGTCTCTTACCAGGGAAGTTCTCATGCCCAGGATACTAACTGATACTATTAAAAAAAAAAAAAGCCAATTTCTATAAATAAGCCCATTCTCATAAATACTTAGATTAGGAAAGATGAGAATTTCTAAATCTCCTCTGAAAATCACTGAAAAACTTTTAAGAATCGAAATAATGACCCCATTTTAACACAAACTCACTGAGTCAGGAGCAAAGTAGTTCCCTGTAGACAGGTCCCATCCTGTCCACTGAGATCAACAACCCCCAGGCCTGTACAAAGATGCCACCACGCACGTAGGTGCACCTTTGAGCAGGTGGGCACTTCTCCAACACGTTACGACACTGTAGCTCATACTGGTTAGTAATCCCAAGATTCTAGTCTATCTACAGCAACTACGTTTCACAACAGCATGCCTCACTCCCATGTACACACTTTATTTCAAATTATGCCACTAGCACTTGGGGAAAAAGTAATTTATTTGCATTGCTTCCATTTTTCTACTGTAGTGTTAGGACTTGACATTATCACTCTTCTACTTCCTATTTACAGTTCATTCAGTATATTACTACAAATACAATATATAATCTTTAAAAACTTATGGGAAACTGCCATTTTTGTTTCTCTCTCCTCTTTACAGGTTTCTCAAAATCATTCAATGTAAATCAAAGTTTATATGGACATTTTCTGTACACATCTGAAAGAACAGAGATTATACTGATAAAACCAAAAGAATTTTGCACAAATACAATAAAATACAGAAAACAGAAAGAATAGATGATGTTACCTGGGGTACAAATATAAACAATACAGTACCATTTCAGTAATTTAGCAACATAATACTCATACTTTATAGAAATAAAACTGCACACCTGGAGAATGCTCTGACAAATATTAAACATATATATACAATGAGGTAAATGTACCTTGGTCTCTTGAGAGGTAATTTAAGTTTAAAGCAATTGACATTTTGAAGCATCTCCTTGACATATAAAGAAATATCAAACACCTCATTCCATTGGCACAATGTGAAAAGAGGATATCAAAACATGGTTCATGATATTCAATTCACAAATCTTGTTTAAAAAAATAAAAACAAATTCACTGAAGTTCTTTTTAAGCTTTAAGAAACAGGCTGAATGTTATTAACCACATTTTTTAAAGTTGACAATTACAAACAAGATTGCATAATGGGTTGAAAAGTTGAAACGTACTGACAATCCTCAGGCTGTCCTAGAAGTCCGGCCTTCCTGGACTGAGGGCCCATGGGTATTCCAGCATTCCAAAACAGACGTAAGAAGCGGCAGTGCATGTCCAGAGCTGTTCTTTAAGACCTCCAAAGCATCTGAATTGGCATTTTCTGCCAAGTCGTAACAAACCATTATTTGGAATCTCCTCCATTTGGAGCCAGAACACCGCCCGCCATGGTCAAGAACCAAAAGAAACGGTTGATTTACAATCATTCTTTCAGTGCAAGGATAAAAATAAACTCTTGACATGACATGTCTAATGGGATACTGATTTTGTTGTGCATTTTAATTAGCACTTTGCCATTCATTTTTAAATAAAATATTCTATATGTGACAGTTCTCAGACGTAGAGGAAAGTGTAAGCTGCAAAATGGCCAAGTGACCACTTGAAATTCTGTAATAAGAACTGAAATTTGGAATTCTCGATGCCCATGGCACTGTACACCGACTCCAGGCACTGCTTGAGCTCTGTCATTACAGCAGGATCACAGGCGCAGCTCTGCGGACCTCGTCTGTCCTGCAGGGGGTATACCTGGCTGCGGCTTCCGGCACAACGCCCACTGCCGTGGCTGCCACCCTTGCCCAAGGCTGACGTCAACGTAGGGCAGCGAGCAGGCCCATCACTCAGCCCGTCTCCACACTGGGAGACCCCTCCCAGCAACATCCAATGACTCAGGAAAGGAAAGCATGTCCCACAACTTCCATCAGCCATTTTGCACTAGGTATCAAACGCAGTGCTTCAGTCAAAAGGCTGCTGGGGGAGAGGAAGGGACGGGCGGGGGCAAGGCCATGGCCTCTGAGTCAGGGGCCAGCAGGAAGGCAGGTCAGGAGAAACAGAGCCGAAGTGATTCAAGACAGGACCAGGGACATCTGTACCCCGCTAGGTCATGCCTCCCCCATCCCCACTCCTCTGGGGTACTGACAAAATGGATGTAAACAGGTAATAATCCGCTTGAAGATATATTTTAGCCAACTTGAATCTTGGAAGGTGAGCGTGTAAAGACAGGCAGTATAAACAAAGGCTTGTTTCTAAACAACAAAATTAATATCCCAGTCAAATTTATCTGCGATTGATCTATTTCATCTTTTAAATTACTTTTATTTTTAATATTAGCCAATTGGGGTTTATCAAACCATCATTAGCCAAAAAAGGAATTAGCTGTAGTAATATGTAACCCAATTTAGAACCAAATTCCAACTTTAAAAAAATTCCGATTCATCAAAAGTACATTTTATCCACATAGGCAAGAACAGTGAAACTGTAGCTCAATCTTTTGATTTAAAAAAAAAAAATCTCTTCAGCCAAAGTTGATTACCTTATATGAAAGTGAGAAATCATATATCACAACTTTAAATCAGACAAGAACTTTTGGTATGTTCTTAAAATTATATAAAAATAGTTTTAGTGATAAAATACATTGGTCCCCTGAATTTCATAAAGCAGATCTGGTAGGCTTAGAAATGGGAAAAAAAAAGTACCTAATCACAGAGCTAGGGATTATTAAACTGGAAATATAACACAATTATAAAAACAAACCTCTCAAACTCATTCATTTGCTTTGATGAAATCGTGGTAACTATAGAAAAAAACTCAAATTTGGAGTCAAAATACTAACCTCTAAGCACATTTTCCCCATGATGTTTTTAAGCACATGAAATTGACACTAAATTCCTATGTAATATGTCATTCATTCTAAAGTTACTTTGGCTTTAAGTCCAAATAGTCTTTCAAATTTATTCTATGTATACGAGATAAGACATTATTAGAATGCAGCTCAGTCGGCGTAAACAGCCACCACCTCTTACTGACCAAAGTACTGTAAAGGTTATTCTGACCTTTTCATTGGGAAATCAATAGCACTATAAAGTCAGTGTCTTGCCTCACAGTTAGGATAGTTTCCCTCCCCCTCAGAATAAGATCACAGTGATAAACAGAACTTTGAAAACTGTAAAAGCCCTGCAAAGACCTTTAGCACTGGGAGTAAAATCCAGTTATTATATGCCAGCTTCAACTTCATGTGAGAAGACCATGACGTTTGCTTTAAACATTTAATTTGACCAAAAACATCTGTAAATGGAGAGCCTATACTCAGAATATGCTTTAGCTACCACTCTTCCAAATATCAAGAGTGTGGTGAACTCATTACATAACCATGTAAATTAAGCAGTTAAAATATCTGCACATAGAAGGAAAGACTGAATTTAAAAGCTGCCTTCTTCCAAGTGTAGTGAGACATCAAAACCACACTAGCTCTACCTTTAATTACAAAGACAGAAAAATCCACCAATGACTCCTAAGTAACAAATGTGACTCTTGCATACCTGTTACCTACTCAAATTATGAACTACCCTTCACTTCCTAGAAAAAAGCCTATTATTTAACATCAACCATAAGCTAACTTTAAATGTAATTCATTTCTTAAAAAAATAACACTGTCTTTGATCAGATCAACAAAATGGCTTACAGGACGCCACACAACTTTTCACAAGCAGCTAGACAAATTTTTCCTTTTAAGAAAAATTAGTCTGTATGCTACAAGTATTAAATTATTAAAGTACTATAAGCATCTAGAGTGCCACTTGATGTTTTTTTAAAGTATACTTAGACAACACAACTAAAACGCAAAAGCTTGATGTGAGACTATTCAAACAAGACCACGATAACAATTTTCCAATTAATGCCACTTCATTTCTTTAGTGGTTTAAGCACATTCTGGTAGGAGAAAGGCATTTTGAAAATGGAAAACCAAATGACATACCACAAAACTCTTCCAAAAATTGTAACAGAAAAAGTCTGGGTTACCCAGATACATAAACTCTTTGAATTGAAACACTACAAGTTTTAACACACACAGACTTTAAGCCATTCTACTCAGTTCCATTAGAAAGACACAGAAGTGGCACTTATTGGTATAGTACAATCCCATTTTGAAGGCATGTAATGTTCTGAATATGTGAAAGAACAATAATAGTATACAAAATACAATTGCATAAATTATGTTCCTCACTACCATATGAGGTCATTTTTAGACTCAAGATAAGAGTTTTATAAGTGTTAGTTTTAAGATCCTGAAAATTATAGAACAGTACATTCAAAGTCTGAATCAAGAAAACTCTTTAGTGGTTCAGAATCCTCTGAGAATGTACTAACCAGGAGTAAATTGCTCTCTTTAAAAATAAGAAATGTTTTGTACTGATTCAGCATCCAGCTCCTTTACCCTTAAAGATGATCTTCAGCACAGCAGTTACCTAAAGTTAAGACCAGCAATCATCTTTAAAAAAAAAGTTCTGTATTAATAAAAAATAAAGGTAGACTACACAACATTTTGTAACCGACCTGGGAAAGAAGCGTTCATAGTGCACAGAAAGGACCCCCATGGCTGTTTCCTGGGTCCAAAGAAATCCTGGGAAGTTTTTAATTGACCTTATTACAGTTGCAAAAGGAAGCAATATCCTTCTGTTCCCTCTCAGTTGAGGTAGAACAACTGACCTCCCAAATTAAAACCCAGGAGCAGATCTGAAGAAAAAATGGAGTTCAGGCAAAGCCGCAGAATTACATTTTGATGCCTTCCTGTTGACTGAGTTGCGACAATGTTTTCTTAATCCGCAAAGCTGTAAGCCTAGCTGCTCCATTGGCATACCAACATTCTCTCATGATTTTAGCCATTACTCTCAAGGCCTACAAGAAAATATAAGAAAAATAATTAATGCACGCACTACCTCCCGTTGATCTGGATAAGAATTTTTACCTGCAAGTTTTCTTTCTAAATGACATAGGCACAAGCTTTTTTGCTTGTGCATTATTTCTAATAACAAATGAATAGAAATGACCTAAATTCCAATCAGTAGGGTCCTAGTGCCAGCAGCTGGAAAGCAGATAGACATGGGGTGGCTTCCTCAGCTCACCTGAAAAAGCAGAATCCTAACCCAAAGGTGTGCAAGGCAAGAAGGAGCCTGACTCATACTGAAACCCCCTAAACTCAGGGGGTTAACTGCACCAAGTACCTCTGGAGTGAAGCTCAGGCCAAAAATAGAGGGATCCGCCAAAAAACCCAGAGAGCTGAAGACTAGAGGTCTGTATCTGAGATGATAAAATAGAAACTTCTGAGTTGGGGAACATGAGGACAAAGTTCTACACTGACAACACACTAAATGCTAAGACCGTAGACTTTTTCCTCAAAACACAGGCACCAACTTGTACGCAATCCTCCAGGCAAGAGACTGGCAGTGTCTTCTTGGGGAATGTGAGCAGCCCAAGAGGAAAGACATGAAGGGACTGACATTGGTTCCTGAAGGAAGCAGCCCAGTTAGATCATCCTAAAGATCAGAGTTCTAAAGCTCCATTCACTTGCATAAAGCTTCTACAAGCTTTTGGTGCTCCGTTGTTAAACATGAAGAGAGTATGAGTTTGATCACACACTTGGGGAAAGTAACATGAAACGCAGAACCTGACACAAACAGAAAAAAGCAACCTGGAGAAAACAGAAGCTGTAGAGAGAGAAAAAATATCAACCATCTATCATTAATATCCTCAAAGAAATCAAAGAAAAGGCTGATGTTGGATTTATCATTGATAAGTTTTTGTTTGATTTTGGAAAAACTTTAAAGAACTGGAAGATAAACCTGACAAAAAAAAAAAGATAAAAGCTGATTAAACCCCCAGAATTTGGAGAAAAAAAGACCAAAGAGACGGATAACAGGAGGGAGAAGATAAGAAAATTAGGAGTTCTAACATTCATCATCAGAGCTGAAGAAAGAGAACAGAGAAAAACAAAATCGAAGAAATACTTCAGTAACATTTCCTAGAAGTGAACCTTTGTTTCCAGATAAAAAAGACCACGTGCCCAGCACATACACAGATTCATTCGACAAATATTTACCGAGTGCCTACCATCTACCAGATACCATTCCAGATTCAAGGAATCCAGCCGTGAGCAGATAAAATCCTTGCCCTCATGAAGCTTCTGGGGGGCTAAAGCTTGTAGTGAATAAGTATGTGGACCATCAGTGTTTAAGTGCTAAGGAGAAGCATCATTTAGGGAAGGAGATAAAATATGCTAGGAAGTAGGATGTTATTTTAAATAGATGGAGAGGTAACAGCTCACTGACAAGGTAACATCTGAGCAGACCTGAAAGAGGGGAGAAATGAGCAAACCAAGAAACAGGCAGACAAGAGATCCAGGAAGGAGGATTCACCTCAAAAGAGGCAAAGGGAATCCCGGGGTAAAAGGTGAGGGATATCCCAAGATGAAAGCTGTATAGTTGGCCTAACCAGTTCAGTCTGGAAAAGGTCAGAAGGTTCTGGAAGACACTTCTATCAGTTTCATAATCTTGATGTGTTTCAACTATTGAGGGGAGATTTATAAAACCCTGGAAAAGTGAAAAATTGAACTAGTGATAAGTAAACAGAAAACTAACTAAATGGGGAAAGAACAAAACTGACGGTGATGGCATTAATTCAGCATGATGTAATAGTAACTGCAAGTTGCATGTGTGCTCTTAAACGTTAATTGCTAACTTTTCTTCATGCTCAAAAAGCCATCTGTTCAAGAATGATCTGCTCTAATTATTGAATGAGTGTATGAATACTTCAAGTTTGTACTTTGTAGTTTCAAGATCAAATTTTTAAGACAAAGTATAGCCCAATTTCATTGTTAAACACGCCAGTTCCTTGAGGACATGAGATGTATTTTATCTGGGCTGGGATGTGATTTTGTTGGAGGTAGTTAACTCTCTTGATGTCAAAGGTTCTACTGAGTCCTTCATTATTTTAAGATGTAAAATCAACTACTTAAGTGGCCAGTCTTTTATTCCTCCTTAAGGTACAAAACTTTGAATCTGGAGGGAAATGCTCTGCCTCACCAATATTATAGTTAGTAACAGCTAGAAATTAAAGGTAGATTAAATAAAATCTGTCTAATGGATTCTTTAAATTTACAGCTACAAATACATGTCTAAAATTTTTTTAAGGGCAAGGTTTGAGAAGCTCAGACACTGCAGGGAAACACTATCCCCAAATTCCTGGTGAATGACCATACAGGCAATCAGAAGAATGAGATACAAAATCACCTGAACCATCTTCATAATCATCTTATCCCAGTCCCTCATTTTATTGGGTTGTTGGAAAAGTCACGATGTATTTTTTCTATGTTTTGTGTTGCAAAAACGTGTCATGACTTTTCCGACAACTCAATACAAAAAAAAAGGCATGTTAAGGTCCAGAGAACTGAAGTGATCTGCCCATCATCACTTTAAAAAGGTAAAAGGGCTGGTCTAGAGTACAGGCCTCCTAGCTCCCATCTGCACTCATCCCACTAGCCTGGGCGGCCCTGACTGAGGGAAGCGTTCCTGGGAGATCTGAACACTGTTCTGATGCTGTGACGGCCACTGCAAATGCTTCACGGCCTTTTCAATGTGCTGAAAAATGAACATGAAAACCAAGTTATTCTGCTTTTATTCACTGGTTTAACTGTCATGAAAAAAGAAGAGAATTCTTGTCTGTTTTCCTTAAAGAAAAGTAGCAAATTTCCACTTACTAAGTTGAAGCAGTTTAAAAACTTGAGTAGTATCCAAAAGAAATACTCACTTCACAGCTCTGCCATCTGTTTGGAATATTTGGCCTTAACTTCTGTTCACAAACAACTTTTCTCATTTCTTCAACTGATGGATCAGAAGGTACAAGATCATAATAAGGCAGCTGGTAATCCTCATGTATTCCTATATTGGTTAAAAAAAAAAAAAGAAAATCTATTTTAAATTTACTCATATAATGTCAGACCATTCTCTGGCCAGACAGAAAAGAAACAGCTAAGCATCCTATTATAGTGTCCCATTACTAAAGTAGTGAGTGGAACAGTGCTCACAGCTTATTATCTCACTCACTCCCGCATCAACAACCCACCTCCCTGAGTCTATACTGGGCCCACACCCTGAAACTAAGTATCACGGTGGGATCAGTAAAGGCTATTTTAATGATGGTGAACTATGAGCTGTGATGACCAGAATGATTTTTTTCCCCTAGAACCCTAATGTGCAAAAAATGAGTTTTTATTCTGTGGGTGCACAGCCTCTCACTTGGTACTGGGATATGCCCTGTCACTGAGATGTGAATCCTACAAGACAAGCCGGAGGCGTAAGTCCCTCTCCACTTCCATCCGCCAATAACCTGTCCTCTTTACTGCAATGCAGAGATGTACTCTGGCCCTCACTGCCTCAAAACCCTAGTTTCAGCCAAGTGTGGGCCTCTAAAAATAAGATTTTCTCCAATACACATCAAAAGTGCTCAATCTAAAAAAAAAAGTTAAAACAAACTTACTTTAAAAAGTAACATAAGGACAGTTTATTGTCCTGTACTTTTATATCTGTTTTCCAGCTATCGATTTGGAGAAAATAACCACAATCTCGGGGCAGGGAGAGGGAGATCAGTTTGACCCAGGTACATTCCGAGGTGGCCTCTGAAGCTGTCACCCACTCTAAATAACTATGTTCCAACCTAATAAGGGATTGGTTTCTGATGCTCCCTAAGACTGTAGTGGAAATAGAAAAAGGATACACTAGGATAAAGCTGTGCACTAGCGTAAAGCCGCACATCTGAGCAAAGCACGGCATATCATTCTCCCCTCACTACAGGTTTCATCTGCTTTTTTCTCTTTGGCACTCTCAGTGATCATGTGCTAAACTAATTTCAGGCTGTCGATGTGTTTCATTTCCTTCAATAGAAAAGATGGCAATTCTTCTGTTCATGACAAACTGTTGGGGGGAAGGGAGAGCAAATTACCACCAATGGAACATCGTCGAGCTATTTCCCAGAATACTAAGCCCATTGCATAGATGTCCGCACGTTTGAAGGATTCAAAGTGTTTCATATTTATGGAATCATCTAGAACTTCAGGGGCCATATACCTAAAAAAAAAGTCAGCATTTTATTTTATGGAATGGTGGCCATATTACTTTTGAACTGATTCATAAATTTTCTTTTACTCCTGAGGGGGGGGGAGAAAATCATTATTACCTTTAAGACTTCCCCTTCATCTCAGCATGGTTCTGCTGTTTTCTAAAAAGACTTATACTTCTTAAAGAAATTTTCCCAAAGTACATAAAACACAAAGTGAAAAATCATTCCTTACTACCACAGTGTTAAATATTTCTATGAACATCCTTTTAGACATAGCTCTAGTCATAAACATACAATATTACATACTGAGATATTGGACTCAAGAAAAATATTATCTATCCATACTGGTTTGCAAATAAATGATCAACTAAATCTTATGAAAAATTGAAACAGCAATTTCATGTTATCTATTTGCCTTATGACCTTAGCTTCCAATGAAAGACACACAGGTAACACAGGAACTGTTACAAATGTCCTAACATACACCAGCCACTTAGTCATATACTTTGCAGGGACCATGTATTTTAATTTACAAGTGAGTTTTCTCACTAAAATAGGATGAAAGGAAGGGCAGGGACATACTCCAAAGAAGAAAAGATTAAAAATGAACGCCAGTCCTCCTACTGATGCCACGTTGTAGGGTTCTGAAGTTTCAAAAACCCCACTAAGGTTACAGATCAGAATTCACGAAGACCTGCAGCAACCACTGTCCTGGAACCTAGAGTTGAACACTCTGCAAGTCCCTACAGAATCCAGAAATCACAGACAACTTAGAATAACGCTGGGCTCTACCCACGGCTAAGGCGGTAGTTTAAAGCTATGTTGTAGCAACATGCTGTGATACACAGGGCAAGGCCTGTGCAAACAGATTAAAATCTCATCTCTTCATCTTACCATCCATATGAGTGAGGTTGGCCACATTACTTAACCTCCACAAGGTGGTTTCCTCATCTGTGAAATGAGGGTAATGACATCTACCTTATAAACACTTTTGAAGACTTGTGGATTCAACAAATATTTGCTGTGGACCTACTACGTTTTAGGCACTGTGATGAATGCTGGGAATACAGGCTGCTTTCAAGCAGACTGCAATCCGAAAGAATATACATACAAATAAGTGGACAGTTACAACATAATGTGGTTAAGTGCCTCAATGTTCCAAGTTCAGCGTGCTTATGAGAACTCTTGGCAAGAACACCTAATAGTCCAGAAAAGGCTTCCTATGAGAAAGAAAGGGTGAATACAAGTTAGGGAAACAGTAGGGGCGTATGCTCTAGGATACATCACATGCAAAAGTTCCACGGGAGAGAGAAAGGCATATTTTCAGGAACTGGAAACATGAAAGGAGTTGGGCTAGTTAGAGTACAGCATTTGAGGAGGGCATTAAATGAAGTTATATAAAAGAACCATTAAAATGATTGGCACATAGTAGGTATCCTATAAACATTAGCTACTATTGCTATTATAATTAATATAACTAGTGATAATGTTTTCTGAAAGAGCCACCTTTCATCAGCAGGTATCTTTTTAGGTCAGGTAACCTTGGCTTCAGAGCAGGCAAGATCATGAGATCTTCTACCTGTGGGCAATCTAATACAGTATAAGTTTGAGTTTCAGAAAAGATATGTAGATACAAATAAGAAGGAAAAGGAAAAGAAACTGCTTTCAGAATATAGTAAATGTTATTTATTCACAAGCGTACCTTTTTGTTCCCACTCGGTGGTTCGGAGCAATATCAATTGTGTCTGTGGCCGAGTCATGTCTTACTGCCAGTCCCAAGTCTGCAATACAGCAAGTTCCATTTTTCTTTACCAAGATATTCTTTGATTTTAAATCTCTATGAGCAATGGCTGGTTTTCCTAAGGAAAAAAAAAATAAACATGAATGCTTAAAAGGTAATACCATCACAATCTCACCTTTAGGTTCCAAAGTCTTTTCTCCCATCCCAGAATCACAGCATTTTAGCCCACATGAGCTGCAGTGCCTGGGCCATTACTTAATAACTTCAAGTGAAACAGGTAGCAAGTGGATACTAATTGCTAGAGCATAGAGATATGTTGGCATCTGATACACAGCGCAAAAATCACATAACTAAAATTTAGTGTTTAGTTTTTCAACTAACAGGGTTTCATACAGTTGCCTCATCGCAAAGTCAAATATCATTTTGTTAGATGGACAGATAACATTTACATAGTATGCTGATGTTTACAAAACATTTTCACATTTCATTTGATACTATACATAAAAATACATTCTCCTAGACTTGAATTCTAAAATCAAGATTCAAAAATCACAAGTAAGACTGAATGCTATTTTTAAGAACTCATAAAAATATCAGTGTTGATACAATGACTAGAAAATATAAACAAATTCCCAGATTCCTAATTCCATCTGAGATTTTTCAACAGAACAATTACGCTGACTTCTTGCAAAGATTTTCTGAATACACATTAGATTGATGGGAATTTAAAGCTTAAATAACTGGGTTGCTTCAAGTTACCTTGGGTACCAACAATCTCCATGTGAAGATGGGCAAGTCCACTCGCTGTGGACAGAGCAAGTTTTATCATTCCTTCCACAGTGACTGTGTATCTGTTCAGATAATCGAAAAGGGATCCATGCTCATGATAATCTGACACCAACCAGAGCTGAGTCCATGTACCATTGTCTGCAAAGTACAAGAACAATGTTTCAGATGGGCTGTAGAACATTTATAATTTACTTGTTCAAAAGTTATCACTTTTTACTCTCAATCCTGAGTCCTACAACTGCAACATGATGGTGGTACCTGTGTGTATTTCCTTCATATTTTCTTGTATTTTCAATATGCCTTCTACTTTTACACACATATCCTTTAGATCCTTATAGTAAGCCCCTGAGTGAGCTAAAGGTAGGATAAGCAATCCCATTAAGAGACAAGGAATCATAGTTCAAAGATAGTAATCTTGAATCTACACAGATAGTAGCAGAGCTGGAAACTCTTCGGTGCCTAGAAAAATGCCTGGTTCAGGTTAGGTGCTCAATGACTGCTTCTGGAAAGAGGGAGGGAAACAACGAAGGAGGGAGGCAGGGAGATGGGAATGTCTGGAGCCTAGTGTGGCCACAGTGGGAACGGAGTAGGAGTAGTATGGGACAAAACTCAAAGTGAGCGTAAATGAAAAAACACAAGCTTTAATGATAGACTCTGTGTGTAGTTCACAAAGAAGCCAGACAAGATGATTATGATTCCAAGGTTTCCAGCTTAGAAAAACATAAAAATAGTGTGGTACCACTGAATCACGGGCAAACTGAGATAGGAACTAAAATGTCAGGCGGAGAAAGTGCTGGGACTGAACCCAGTTTTACACAAGGTGGTTCTGAACTTCGACAACCAGGAATGTGTGTTCTTCAAGTTCATTTGTAAGCTGATACGTGAATCTGAAATGTGTTTTCCCATGGGAATCAAGGTAAAGGTTCTGGCTAGGCTGGTCCACAAAAGCCAGTATAGCCTAGAAATAGCTGGAAATATATGGAAAACCATACATTTCATGAAATCATGAAAAAAAAAAAGCATTACAATCATACAAGGACAATTCAGTAAAAGCTACACACCTGGAGTCATTCTGACCTGGCTCGGAATCTAGGGCCTGGCTATTAGTGACTAATGACCTCAGACAAGCTTCTTAACCAATGAGCCTCTGCTGCTTTTCTTACACAAGAATACCTCACTTCGCAAGACCATTAAGGCTTTAAAAATAGAATAACAGATTTTTAAAAAGCACTTAATTCAATGCATGGCATATTAGAACTTAAAATATACCGTTTCCTTCCTTATCGGTTGTAAAAAGGAAAAACCCAAATTGACATAAAACAACTTCTATATTTTGAAGGTTGTTATTTGAAGGAAAGCCAACTCTGATTAGAAGAGATTAAGGAAGATGTTTTCAGAAGATTCTGGAGGGGATTTCTGAGCATTTTCAAAAGGATTTAGAGATTCATGATACTAGCTCTTTATAAACTTGTTCTTCATAAACTTTATAAACTGATTCTGTTCAGACTTGTACCTTTTCTTTTCCCTGATACAGATGCACCACTAGCTTTATCTGCATATTTGTTAACCACGACAGAATTCTGAAAGGCTCACAAATACAAGAAACACAGGCAGCTGGAAGAAAGGGAGATTTTCTGAGGTTAATTATCAATAAAGGCAGAAGGAAGAAGGTTACATAAGAGGCTGTGCACATATAAAGGGGTGTCTGGGTGGAATTCACTAAATATTGTCAGGAGGATGAAGATAAAGGAAAAGGGAACTGGGGTGGAGGGGGCTAGGTTTTGGGCAAAGTCCATTAATCCCAACAGAGAAGAAAGGAGGTAGAAACTAGCAAGGTCAGCTAGTTCCCATGGTGACCACCAGATGACAGCACCAGCTTGGCTGCTGCTTAAGCAAATGCCAAGAGAAATCTCAGGGCACAACAGCAGGAGCATTTTGTACCAATATGCTTAGACTTGCAACATGCCTAAAACATGTTGGGCCTGGGTGAGGTTTGGGCCTCAAAATGCAGATTTGAAAGCCACCACAACTGCAGAGTTTGAATCCATGAATGTGGGTAAGTTCTTTAAGTGAGCAATTACTATTTGTAGAATTAGACCCTTCATAGAAATCAGTAAGAAGAATTTCAGAAAACAGAGATAACTATTAAGAATAAAGTCTAGTGTCATAGAACATAACAAAGGTGGTTTTAACAATTGGGGGAGAAACTAAATAGTGTCAAAAATAGGAGAAAATGAAAACTAAGGACTTGGTCTGACTATGATCACTGCTTTTGTTTGTTTGTTTTTAAATTAAGTGATATTGAATTGGCAGTAGCCACTGATAATCTCTGCCTACATCAACCACGTCCATCACTACCCGTAAGTCACAAAAAAGAGATAATCAAACACTATATGCCTCCTAATGTGATACAATAGGACATACACAATATATAGGAAGTATACAGTATTTTTTGGGAAACCAATAAAACTTAATCAGATTTAGTCTCTAATTCTAACTACCAGTTTTCAAATAATACAAGGAGCAACTTCAGAGATACTAAGGGAATTCAATTAGCAAAATCAAGAATGTGGTAAGTCCTACAGGACAAATAATACAGTTTCTTCAACAAATACATTACAAGAAGCAAACAAATGAACAAACAAAAAAAGATGGAGGAGTCCAGAACTTTCAAGGGACTTAGGATAAATATCAACCAAATGCAATGTGTAGACTTTGGATCTTAAAGTGAATAACTAATTGTTAAAAAAAAAAAAATAGGAGGCAACTCCAGAAATTTGAAACTGACTAGATATTGGATGACATTTAAAAAAATGACAATGGTAGTGTGGTTATGTTTCATAAAAAACATTCTTCACAATCTAAAGATACAAACTGAAAAATGTTTATGGATGAAAAGATAAGTTATCTGAGATTGGTTTCAAATAATTTAGTTAGGGACAGTGTAGATGAAATCAGAGATCATGTATGATTGGCAGTGAGCTAATAATTGTTGAAGGTGGATCATGGAGGTTCACTATGCTACTCTTCACTTTTCTGTACATTGGAAATTTTCTCTAAATAAAAGCCAGAAAAATAAACAAGTAATATATGTTTGCTGTAAATAAATTTGAAAATACAGAGAAGTAAAAAGAAAAATCATAAAATCACCCATAATCACAAACTAAGATTAAACACTGTTGAAGCAATAAATATTGTTGAAGAAAACGTGGAAGGTAGGGAAGGACAAAGATGACTATCGTTCTGGACAATCTAAAAAACATAATGATAGCATTTTTTTTTTAATAGGAAAGATGGGAAATATATTTGATCCAGGGTGAGGATGACAGAAGCTATACAAGCAGGAATTGTGGACACAAAGGTAGTAACTGAAGCCAAGAAAATAGATGAAGTACAGTCTGCAGTCACTGCTCGCAGTCACATTTTGCCTTTCCACTGACATGGCTTCCTTGTTTCCTCAGCATTTGATCTGACCATGGGTCTTAAGCATCTGCTGGGCGCTCAAGCACCTGAGCCACAAGCAAGAAAGTGTCCCTGTGGTCAGCAATGGCAAGGTAGTTTTAGAGAAACCATGTTTCTATTTAATTGAATTTACTTAAAAGATTAATCTGCTTAGTTCCAGGCAACTTAAAACACAGAATACCCTTAGAAGTTATTTTTATTCTCCCTATAAATAAGGCCATTAGTATA